CTGGGGTATAGCTAGATATCACTCTCTAGACTTCAAATTAAATAGAGCAGTTATTTAGATATCTCTGTCAAAAACGCCTGCTTTGATTCGAAGAGGCTTGGCAGTGCTTCCTTGTCCGATGTTGAAAGACTTGTCAAGGAATTGCATGTTCCTGTGGAAAGGCACTAGTTAAAACAGTGGCCTGTCCTGCCTCGCTTCAATTAACTGAGTTGTCTGCAATTCCTGACCTTACATCTGCTCGTTTTCCTTCAGTGCGACAATTTGGGTACGCTGCTACGTACTTATTATAAGATTGGAGATTGATTGAGCAGATAATCAAGATAATGTCTTCCCCAGTGTACATTCCTGGGGAGTTGTTGCTTTTGTGGCTGAGGGCTGGGCAATTCCACAGTGCTTTTGAACTGATGTATAGGAAAGCAGTCCTTCTTTCTTTCTTTTTTTTTTTTTATAAATAGAAAATTAACTCAGTCCCAGCCAAAACCAGTGCAATTAGACAGATATTTGTGTGGATTTTCCTGTCTTGGGGCCTTCAGGAAACAGCAGGATGAGTTTCTGCATAAGGAAGTATATCATAGTTTTTGTTTAATTAAATTCGATCCATTCCACTGCTCAGCCGTAAGCGAAGTATTTCAGTTCATAAACATCGTGCTGTGTGGTGCTTTCTTATGAAAATACTAAAATAAATGTAATTGAAAGGGACACAGGGCTTGCACACAGCTACCCTCGTGATACACTGGTTGAGCACGATTTTTGCTTTTTGAGATCTGTTGTATTAGAACACAGATATGTAAGGATGAAGACTGATAACTTGCAGCGTAAATGGAACACAGTGGGAAAGTAATTTGTTTCTCCTTTTACCTTTAGAACAATCTAGGTATCCTGTGGTCTCAAAGGGATGAAATTAAAACTGCGCAGACTTACTTGGAATCTGCAGAAGCCTTGTATAATCAATACATGAAAGAGGTACTGTGGTTATTAATACTGTGACAGGTCTCACAGTTTTAGTGATCTTTGAAAAACCTACGATGGAACTTGGGTTTCTGTGCTTTGTACTGGCTGCTGGGGTTCTGCAGAAGAGTGATACAATTTGTACTGCTAGCATAGGAAGAGGCAAACTAGAGGATCACGTGCTAATTTCAGAACAGATTTAGGAAAATAATTTTGCTCAGAAAAAAGGTCCTTTTTGAAAGCCATTTGAATGGATAATCCAAAATTGAAACCAGATAGAATTTGGCTTTTAATTCACACTACTCGTAATCTTTTCTTGGAGATGCTGAAAAATGTCGATCCATTGTTTTCAGTGGGAAAAGGAGACAAAATATTTTTTGCTCTGACTATGCATGGTATTGCGTAGAGGCAAACTAGTTATTCGAGAGGACAGTCTTATAAACAGCTGAACCCGTGATGCATATTAAACAATCCTTGGAGCTGTGGATTTTGCAGTGTGTTGACAGAGACTCCCTTGTGCTATTTTTAAGCTCTCTGTGAAGCTGTTCCAGCGCTGACTTGCCTCGGGGACAGTTTGTGAGTGAGCAAAAACCATTTGTGGCCTTAAAGGAGCAGTTTCTGTGTCTCAGGACAGCTGTAAATGTTGCACAGAACTTCTTTTCAGGAAATTACAGTTCAGATTTTACACAAGCTTGGTTTATAGCACAGATTATCCTTGTGGAAATTTCCAAATGAGTTAGTCATGGGTGGCTGGTTACTGCCATGTTCCCACCTTTGTATCCATGCTGGTCGGGAGAGGAAATGGATCCAGAAAAATACCCACCTGTGCTGAGAAGCTTGTCTGTTGATTCCCTGTCCTCTGGGTCTAACTAGAGATGCTGCATCTCGCTACAGATCCTCTCTCTAATTCCTAGTGTTCAACTTGGATATATATACACGGCCAGGTATGAAATTCTAGCATTTGCCCCGGTGATGATTAAATTGAGCTGGTACTACCATGTATTTCAGTAGATTAAACAATGCTGCCAAACGCTTCATGTTTTCACTCTGGATTTTTCCGAAACAGTTAATTTTTGGTAGTAATGCCTAGTGAATGTTCCTCCTGGGGCTTTCCTGCCTCATTAGGGTATACACATACATGCCCATCAATAATAAGCCCCCATCACATCACTTGTAACATTTTTCCCCCTCAATGTATTTGCCACTTACACTTCAGGGTGTTACATAGTCAAACATAGCTATACCTAAAGATTTATTTTTTTTAAGGAACTACAGCAAAAGACTTTTTGTGGTAACTTCACTGGACTGGTGTCACATTTCTCTGAAAATACTGAACTGTACTGGGCATAATCTGCACAGAATTAACAAAAAATCATCTCAAAACACAAGGCACAGGGGAGCAGGTCTGACTGCTTTGTTGTTTATAAAGAGGACTTGAGTTCCTTACAGTGATGTTTGATCTTCAGGATTTATACAACCATGTCAACATTCACCATTCATAAATTATAAAAATGTGAACATACTTTTCTTAACATTCTCCGTTTTTAGGCTATTGGGAAGCCTTCCTGTATTGTAATCTTGGGTAAACTGTTGATGATTGAGGTGTTTTCATGAACTAGTGGATTTAATTGTTTACTGACACAGGGTCTAGTTAACTTGCACATTGGGTTGGCTTCTGTTTTTGCCCCTATGGCAACTAGAGCAAAACCAAGGCAATTACAAGGAAGAATTAATTTGGTAGAGCTAAAAGATCGTTTTAATTTCTGCTCCTGAATAATTTGAGTTTACATACCCCCCCCAAAAAAAAAAAATTAGCTATTTTAACAACATTTTGCCATTAGGAAATCTGATTATCACTACAGTGAAAATCTGAGGGTGCTAAACTTTATGGGCAGGAGCTTGGGCTACTAAAGTCCACCTAGGAAGGAGAGTTGCAGAGCTCATCCTAGGGATAATTTAAGGCTTGACATCAGAGGATAAATCTGTAGATACAGGAAGGAGGGTCTTGCTTACCGTGTCATTCAGTCGTGTATTTTTTTTGTTTCTAGTCTTGCCAGAATGTACTCCACATCTTGTTAGAACGTTTGTGCTCCTTTGTATCTAAGGAGAAGAAGGCGGAGGGTTATAAATTCACATCTTAAAACCTCATGAGGTATAAACAGAAAACAAGTATTTCACACCTGAGGGCGTGCTTAGTATTAAATTGATACTTTAAAAAACATTTGGGATTGAAAAGCGGTAAATCATCTGCAGCCAGAAGAGGGAGCACTATGTTACAGAGTAAGAGAAACACCGTTTACTGAATATATCACGTCGTCTTGCAGGATGGAAGTCCTCCCCTGGATCCTAGTGAACATTTCATGGCAGAAGAAGAAAAACTCACAGACCAAGAAAGATCCAAAAGGTGAGTGTGTGGCAGCATATATAGTTTATTACTACTTTTTTTTTTTTTTAGGTTTATGAGAATTTATTTAGGGAGGGGAAAAAAAAAAAAGAAGACATCTAAAGAGACTTGTTTTTTCCAGGTTTGAAAAAGCCTATACACATACTCTGTATTATCTGGCACAAGTCTACCAGCACCTGGAGATGATTGAGAAGGCTGCTCAGTATTGCCATACTACTCTTAAACGGCAGCTTGAGTATTGTGGCTACTACCCTGTGGAGTGGGCACTCAATGCTGCTACTTTGTCACAGTACTATCTCTCTAAGGTAATATACCTGATGTTTTTCTGCTGCAATTATATCATAGATGTAACTATCAAGTAAGACGGTTGTTTAAACAGCTCTTTGAGACAGGGCTCTGTGTTGACTTAAAAATGTGCTCCTGTAAAACGACGAGTTGTCTTCTGATGTGAGACATCTGTTAATTTTTTCTGAAGAGGATGCAGTGGCTTTCCTGGGGTGTTGTGATCGCAATGGGAACAAGTGAGCAGGAGTGTAGGCAGAAGAAAAGCTCTATAAGTAATGAAATATCAGCAGTGATGTGATATGATGCCCATAGGTAAAACTTTAAGGTTATAATCATTTATTTTTAAATTGTTTCTTGTAATTATATTGTTCTCTTACAATAAAGAGTTTAAAACCAAAAGCACCTGAGGGTCAAGGTATTGCGTGTTGTACATTTCCTATAAATTGTTGTCTTTTGTGCTTCAGCACGTGCTTAAGGCTTGTTTGAGTCTATGTGAACGTTAAAGTGCCCACGTAAGGTGGTAGCTGTTTGCTTCCAGCCATCTGCATTGACTTTAAATAATCTGCTGCGTTAGGAAACGCTTCAGCTTTATTCAGGGATATCTGTATTCCAGACTATTCAGATGCTCTTTTCTGACACTTAAAGGCCTCTGCCTGTTAATGCTAATTTCAGTCGTGACTTTCCATATCTGTGCCTTGACAGCACCCATCATTAAACAGTGCGCTGCCACATATGAGCAACGGAACCTAAACCTGACTCATAATGTTCACTTCTGTGTCCAGCTCACACCCCGTGATAGAATCATTACCACAAGGCTTCATTTCCTTTACCTCAAGGAAGCGATGGCAGCACAGACCAGAACAGCGAAAATGTTCACTATGCATGAATCTAATATAAAAAGCAAGGCTTGCTGTTGTGGCTGTGGTAGAGAGCAAATGGTCGGTTAGGGAAAAATTGTCCAGTAGGAGATGTGGCAAAACTATCTGTCTTCAAGTGTGGGGGGAGTATGCTGCAAAGTCTTTCAGCTGTGTCGTTTCCCTCGTGCTCGTGCATCTCTGCTGTGTGAGGCGAGGGGTTTAGCCAAGCTGTGAGCAGTGCTTGTGCTGCTCACGCCAGTGATCGATGCTGCCATTTCTGTTTCTCACAGCAATGCTTTATGGAGTCCCGACACTGTTTAGCAGCGGCCAATGTCATCTTCAGCCAAGCTGGACAGATGCCATCCGCTGAAGACAGTAAGTTCATATAAAAGTTTTGAATAAAATATTGTGTATTAAGCATCACTGATGCATAATGTTAGGAGTGAAGTCTAAGAATATCTACAAAAGAGATCCCGGTGTTAATTTTCTAAAATCTTTTTAATTACTAATGAAGTGGAATCTTTTTGAAGAGTTACTGCTGCTGTGGCTTAAGGTTGGCTGTGAGAAAACTCAGTGAGGAAAAACTCAAGTGCTTGTTGCTGTTGTTTCAAAAAGTGTACCAGAATAAAAGTGAAATTTAAGCTAGTATCCATTTCAGTACTGGCAATGGCTTTGTTCGTCCATTTCTCATTGAAAATGCAGCTTACCTGTGCTTCTCTGTGATCAGAGGCCAATGAATCCATCAACCAAAACAGATGCTTCCTGGCAGTCATTTTAAGAGGGAAGGAAACTGCAGCTCTTTAAAAACCCCAAATCCAGAAGGTACTTGTATTGGCTTTTGTTGCTGGATGCAGCAGCCTGGCTGGGCATTTTTGGAGTTGCAGCTCCTCTCCTTGTCGTTCTGAGTATTGATGCAAAGGATCAACTTTGTGGCTTAGTGTGAAGAACAATAAAGGGAACTTTGAGAGAACTGACCATGGTTTTAACAACCTGTGGTTCCATGGTTGTGTCACTACTCTGCGTAACTCCTCTGGTTTAGGCTCAGTTTTGCTTATCTGCAGCACAGCTTTTTACATTCTGTGTCTTGGGCAAATCAACAGAGCTTTAACTCATGGAGAGTGAGGAAGTCCTCAGGGTAGCCCTGACTCTGAACAGTGAATATATTGGTTAACTTTTAGTGGTTTGAGCTGTTGAGAACACAAGCTCTTTAATCCACTGATGTTGTTTTTTCAGGTTAAAATATAACCTGGATAGCCACAACTGAGTTTTCTTTAACTGAAGTTCAGTGACGATGTATTAATTTAATTGCTTTTAGTATTTCTCTTAGCTCAAAAATACAGAACTCTATGCAGTCACCTTACTTACTGTTTAAGCACTTTGAGGATGATGTTTGTGGGAAACAGGGCTGTCAAGAGTGAGGTTATGGTAATCAGACTGTTTGAATTATGAAGGATTCAGTAGGTCTGAATCAGTGTTTATGGGCTTTCAGAGCTACCTGACTGCACCACTGTCAGAGTTCGTTGATACGATACTGGACTCAAAAAAATGAGGTTACGTTTTTGATAGGTTTGTAGAAACGTGGAGTTGGTTATGGCTGCAAATTCACGTGCAAGACAGTGGTAGATAAGAGTCCTATTTTTAAGTGTACTTTAAGATTTCTTGTGTGATTTTTCTTTTTTGGTCAACTGAACTATCTTTTGTCTTGATTTCCTCCTGCACTAAACAGGAGTAGTGATATTTGTGTTTGTTTCAATGGAGTAATTCCCTTCCTTTTCATGGTACAGAGAGCTGGGCTGTGGACATGAAGATCATTATGCAGAAAGTTCTAACTTAGAGAAAGACTAAGATGCAGTCAGCACTGGCCACTCTCTCCTTTTACCATGTTAATCGGAATATAAACAAACCCAAATATTTAGTAAAGGTGCCTTTTCTTAGATTAGAAACAGTTCTTATTTCTTAATAATAACAACTCGATTGGCTGGAATGAAAGATGGATCCAAGTCTGAAGTTGGCTTCTTATTTGGTGAACAGAAGTGCTTGGTATCCTCTTGATGTTCAGCTCACTCGCTGCCTCCTGCCTAGAGACCGGGAAATGAGTTCTCTTGGAAAGCCTTTTGCTTTCTGCAGACATTTTCTGGAGACATCAGCAGTGCTGCTACTTAGGACAGTGGGGAGAAAAAAGCAGAAGTTGTAGAGCTAGTGAATCTTATGTCAGTACCAATTAGATGATCCGATTTCCCCTCCTTCTCTTTTTTGGTAGCAAGTCTGGGGCCATCGCAATACAAACATCCTGAGCATCCTCAGAAACAATTACTGGGCAGGCAGGTGAATCTCAAAGTGAATTATCCCAATTTCTTTCTTTTGTTACAAGGAGACATGAAAACCTCTTTCGGTAACACACCTTCGAGATCGAAGGTCTTTTTAAACGTATGTTATCATCTATTTTTTTGAGGATTCATGCATGATGAATCCATGTTAATCTAGATGAGTTTCTTCCAGTGTGACACTTTACAGAATTACTACATAGACTAATGAGGAGACTATATTTCTGTTTAATGATGAGGAAAATTAGTTAAATACAAGTCACCTTTTTTTTGCATGTAACATTTGAAGTTTTTGCTGGAGTGCTTTTTATATTTTTATGTGTTTATGTCTGTTCAATAGATGAAACGGAGCAAGACCAGCAGGATCTTCGACAGAGAAAAGCTGAAATTGCAAGGTGCTGGATTAAGTATTGCCTGAATCTCCTGCAAAGCGCTCGGAAATTACTTGAGGTAACTGAGAATGTGTTCTGGAGCTGTCATGGTTTAAAAACCAAGTCTGGTTTGATGTTTGCAACAGGAATCAATTCATAGTTGGTAGCAAGTGATAAAGAATCACCCAATGAATAATACAATATACACTTGTAACGTAGCCAGTGTTTCAGAGCGTGTGCTGGCTTCAGAGCAGCGCTTAGCAATAAGCACAGAGAGGAGAACTGAGATGGTAATTTACACGATTTTTGTGAATATAATGTCTAATATGCCAACGTATCTTCTGTCTCGTTGCTAATTAGCTTGTATTTCACAGGTAACTCAGAATGATTCAGTGTGCACCTCTCTTTGAAAGCCACATGCATTTTCAATTAGTATGTTTTGTCATTTCAGGATAACATAGGAGAGCTGGATCCAGACAGGCAATCGGAACTTAAAGCCCAAAGGAGAAAAGAAGAGGATGAGAAAGAGAAGGGCAGGAAAAAAGCTGTCCTTTTTGGGACAAGTGATATATGTGACTCTGTCTTAGCCATGGAGGAGAAAGTGAGCAGCGTATATCCTTTAGATTTTCAAGAAGCCAGAGAAATCTTCCTGGTTGGTCAAAACTACGTTCAGGAAGCTAAAGAGTTCTTCCAGGTTGATGGTTATGTTACTGACCATATTGAAATTGTTCAGGATCACAGTGCTTTGTTTAAGGTGTTGGCTTTCTTTGAAGAAGACTATGAGAGGCGCTGCAAAATGCACAAGCGTAGAATAGACATGCTGGAGCCTATATACGCAGACTTGAATCCGCAGTACTACCTGTTGATTAGTAGGCAGCTTCAGTTTGAACTGGCCGACACCTATTATGAGATGATGGATTTAAAGGTAGCCATTGGTAACAGGTTAGAGGAGCTAGACTCCCACACAATTAAAAAAATTAATTCTTTGGCTCAGCTGGCGATCAAATATTATGAACTCTTCTTAGATTCTTTGAGGAACCCAGATAAGGTGTTTCCTGAAGAGCTCGAGGAAGATGTTCTTCGCCCTGCCATGGTAGCTAAATTTCATATTGCACGACTCTATGGTAAGCTGATTACTTCGGATAGCAAAAAGCAACTGGAAAATATGCAGACATCATTGGAATATTATACCTTTCTGGTAGACTATTGTGAGAAGTACCCAGATGCTGTCCGTGCTGTTGAAACTGAACTAGAACTCAGTAAGGAGATGGTGGGTCTTCTTCCAACGAGAATGGAGAGGCTAAGAGCGAAACTGTGTCCATTTATATAAATACCTTACAGGAAATTTGTATTGTTAAAATAATACCTGTTGAAATCAGCGCTGTCGGACAGCTTCCGTGCTGATGGATAGCGCTAGGGTGTCTGCAGTTCGGCAGTCCACCTAGAGCCTGCTGTAGTATAACTTTATAAGTATCTCGGAGCTCTCCTGTTCAGTAGCTTACCCCCCACTAATGGTATAAACTGCAGATGTAAAGTGAATGTCCAGCTCATGCTTTGTATTTGTCCTGTATGGAAATAGAAACTTTTTCTCCCTTATGTTTTTTTCCTTTGGCATATGGTTCAGTTTCTAAATGTATGAAAATTCTTTAAGAGAATCTGTTTCTCTGCGAAATTTCTTCTAAAAAAACCTGAGGCATGTTCTTCCAACTAGAATACATTTTATCTCTTCTAACGTTTGTCCCCAGAAAACTTTATCCATATGAAGGGATTTATTTTGTATGTTGCTCTGTGTTTTGGGGGTTTTTTTCCCCCCTGTTCATCAAAACCTAGTCAGTAGTGGCTCAATAAATGACTAGCTTACCTAAATGTTTTTTTCAGAGTCCTCAGAATTCTGTTTCTTTGTGCCTTACTAAGAGATATAATGTTGGGCCAAAATAAATAGTGGTGAAAGCATTCCCACCTGAGTATCTTCATTAAGAACACATGAGCAAGTGAAGTGCCAGAAGGATTATGAACCAGGATGCGTTTGAGAGCAAATGTAGGCTGAGCGTGTTGTCCAGCTCTGCATTAAGAGGTTGTGGTCAGAGATGGGAAGGGATGTGGGGAAAGTGAAGCGATGAGGTGATGGCGCTTGTGGTAGCATGCTGCTCTGTGCACCAGCAGTCCTCACTGTCAGGTTCATGGGGAGATGTTTACGGCAGTAGAAGGCATTGAAGGAGAACAGTCGAAACAACTGGATTCTTCCGGAAAATGCGAGAAAATGATTTGGGGAAAAAATGACTTTAGCTTGGAGGGTGTGAGGGGGAAGCATGTTCAAGCAAGAAAGCTTGTAAATGTGTGGTAAAAATCTCTAGCTTGCAGAATTCTCAGCAAAAGGCTTCTAACCACAAACAAATAGGCCAGCAAATGAGTCCTGGAAACGAGAGGCAGCAGAACTCAAAACTAGACCAGCTACCTGCATGCATAGAGAATAAGGGAGAGCGTGTGTGCACGTGCATGTGTGTGGTGTTTCTGTTTTACTCACTAATTGTCTAGACGACCTTGAGGAGTTTCTTTTCTGCTGTCACATCTTTTTAATGCAGTTTTTCCCATGGCCTGAAGGTAGGGCAGCCCATAGGTTCTCAGTGAAATAGTTCTCAGCGGGCTGTATCGTGCATTATTTTAGTCTATGATTTCAATTAACTCTAGTATGTGCTTTTACTGTGAACTCATAATTTGAAAGTTAATTTTTTTTCTACTAATGTTTAGCTTCATATACAAGTAGAAGAAGGTGATACATGTTTGAGGTTCTGGGGTTTTTTTCCCTCTATACTTCAATAGTCCACCCCTCAGGGCCTTTGAGCAAATGTTTTAGAGCAAGGATTGACTCATCAAACTTACTTGTAATTTGGGGAAGGATAGATTCATGGGCTATTCCAGCATAAAAATAATTCTTTTTCCTGTCCTAGCCTTCAAATAAAGTTCTAAAGTGAGTGTTAAAAGTTACCTGCAAGGTTGGCAAAGCTGAGTGAAGTGTGGGATGATGTGTGTTTTCTAATCTGCAGTTGTGTGGGGAGGAACACTCTGAATTCACCAAAATCTTCCTGAGCACTCAGCAGACAGGTAGGAGCAGGTCCATAGCAAAGAAAGAAGGCCCAGAATTAAGAGAAGTCGGAGTTTTGACGCAGCTCTGTGGTTGGCGCTGTGGTTGAGAGACCTCTCTCCTCTGGAGATAGCCCAGAATGCTTCAGTTTTGCAGCTCTTCTTAAAGACTGCAGTACCATGTAAATACATTTCATATAAACGCATATGGAGTTACAGAAACCAACCATACAGATTCTTCATCTCCTGTAGTTAGCGTTCAAGACTACCACCAGAAAGTATATTTTATAACTGAGACATACTCAGCACAATGTGCTATGTTGTTGTTCTTATAAGGCATGTCTTTTTAAGGGAACCTTTGAAATAATTCCTGTTTGTTCAATGATTTGAGAGAATGAACTTAAGTAAGATTGTGTATTTAGTTTAAAAAAAAAAAAAAAAGGAGGGGGAGGAGCTTGTTGGATTAGGCAGCAAAGCTCCTGTCAGGAATGCTGAGTTTTAACTGTAAAATATGTGTGAGGTCAGGCATTTATTTCAAAGCTTAATTAAAGATTAGGTTCCTGTGAACTCCATTTAACCTGCATTTCTATTCCTTTTTCTACAGCAAAAAAAAAATCTTACAGCTGAAACCTCCTTTCTATTTGTCTACTAGTTTTTTTCCTTACCCCACATAAAGGAGCAAAGTTTACAAGAAGCCCACATCTGTGCAGAACTTGTTATCAAGTGCGAGATCTGAACTTGGAGGATATAACCTCACCATGCTTCTTCAAATAGTGCATAATACTCATGAGAAGTAATTGGATTTGATTAAAAACACATTTTTTTTTTAACTGAAATGCTCTTAATTCTTATGCTGGCTAAAGATGTGGTATGTGTTATAAAACGGGTGGACTAGAAAGGCTGTGCTGTGCTTAAATATTTCAGGAGACAAAGAAACCCGTGCCTTATTCTCTGTTTCTCCCTACAAGCCCATCGACAGAGGCTCTTCCTTTTTTTTTCCCCTTGAGGGGACCGGACTGGAGGAGAGCAACAGGTGACAGTCTTGTCCTGTGCTGTTTTCCTCTCTTCAGCGAGCTGAAATAGGAGGGGAAGCGGGCAGGAGCCAGCCCTCACTTCCCCTTGGCAACAGGACAGCAGCTCCCCCATGTTGCAAGGGGAGCAGGCCACTGCGGTTGGTGTCTTGCCTGGCAAAAGCAAAAGGTCCCTGGGTTGGTTTGCTCTGTTCCTCTGCCTGAAATCTCCCCCCTTGGGAGTCTCAGTCCTGCCCTGGCACAGGCTTGCTCAGAGGGGGATGGTTTCCTTCTCTTATCTGCAGAACAGATGTGTCTGCGTATCGGTGCTTTTGCTGGGTGTGATTGTTGCTGTGCTTCCACGTCCGGAAACATTGCAGGAACCTGATTAAGCTCAACATCAGACAGTGAGAAGCAGGACTGATCTTGTTAATGCGTGGTTTTACGCATCTCAGTTTTGTTTGGTGTTTTTGCTCGGCACTGAGAGAGAGATGAGCTTTGCTTGCGTGTTTTGCTGTGAAAGGCTGAGTTAGTTGGTGTCACCTATATGATTTCTGTGGAACTTCTCATTATAAAATACCCAAAGTCCTGCGAGGCAGGACTTTGCTAGATGGCCAGACCTTCTGGAATCTTGAAGTTACAGAACTAAAGACTGTTACGTTAAAACCAAGTGCGTAAAGTTGTGGTGAGAAGCGTTTGTCAACTTTCTTTCCTCTTCAGTTGCAACATCTTTGGGTACATTGGAGCTCACCAGGAATGTCTAATGCAGGTTTTAAAACTGCTGAAAACTGCTTTCAGTTTGAAAACTGCTTTTGTACGGTTCCCAGCAACTCTGCCCAAAGTGCCTGCTAGTCCTTTTTAATTTGCAGCTTGACTCGTGGTTTCTAGCTCTTCCTTGTCATGGGTGGGCATACAGCCACCAGTTTCCTGACAAGGACAATTTCACTGGCTGCCTTTTTCCTGAAACCGTTGTACAATTGTGTCTTTCCATATGAATGATTTACATATGGATGATGTGCCAGAGAGAGAGTGTTGGGCAGAGGGGATACTACGCACAGAACATTTTGCAGATATGTTACTTGGTTTCAGAACGGAAAAGGTCTGTGGTATCAAGCGTTTGTTTAGAGAGAAGTGAATGATAACAGTGTGATCCCTTCACGCTAAAGACCTTAATTCAGACGCTTTAGCAATGTTTTAAATGCTTAGTGCTTGAGGTTTTGGCATCTGGTACACATAAAGTCTTCTTACGTGCTCACTGTCGCTGTAAAAGAGACTTACTAGTTGGCATCAGACAAAGATGCAAGGAATTCACTGCTTGTGATTTTTAATGCAATTTTCTGCTGAAACAGAGAGGAATTGGGTAAGAGATTGATTGTGATGGGCATGTGATGGAGTGAGCTGGTGTTAGTCACCAAACACCCTAAGAGGAGTACAAGTGCTTGTGTCAGAGCTACTCTGAGATCCACAGCTGAAAGGCACAGGGCAGAAAAAATTAGGAATGAACAAGATAATTTCCTGTATGCTAAGTGTCTTGGAAGGGAGCAAGAGGTTCCCAGGTGGGGTCTCAAATTGCTTGGAGCGTTGGCCATGAAAGTCCTCCTGGTCTCCTGGAGCCTGCCTCTGGATAGCCAGTGGGTTCAGCAAACACCAGCAAAGTTTCATAGCAGCCCATGAGGGGATGCAATCAGGTGGGCCCAGAGCCTCCTTCCTTGAGAAGGCCGAGACTTTTTAAATGAGAGAAGTAGCAACACCCTAGAAGTGATGTCTAGTACTGATAAGGAGACAGAACCGGTGATGCTGGATCCAATTGCCAGCACATGGGCTACAGGCAGCAAGGGAACTATAAAAAACCCAACAGTCTCCTGCCAACAAAACTTACTCTGAACACCAAATATTACCCATGGTTTGTGCACAGACACCTTGAGCTGGCAAGTGTCACACGCTGCCAGTCTGCATCGGAAACTTTTGGCAAAAAACCATCAAATCCTTTTTAACTTTTCCATGTGCTTTGCCTTAATGTTTTCTCATGGCACTGAGCCGCCAGTATTACATAAAGCTTGTGGAGAGACACACTTTGCTCTCTACATTGTAAAGGCACAAGGTATTGCCAGGGTCTTGCCTTCCTGGTCAGCCTGGCTTGGCCTCCTTGCTGCAGTCTTTTTCCTGGAAGGGTTAGATGAGATGAATCTTGCCCCAGGCTTCAGCTTTCCCTGCTGGCTGACCCCTGTCTGAGTCCTCTTCTGCACTCAAAGAGATGAAGAAAATAGAGCTGTTAGAGAGCCCTGTCCCTTTGAAGTAGGAAAAGGCAAAATGTGCTTTTTTTCCTAATCAATGCAAATTGTGTTTTCTAAAGGGATGTGCTCATCTTGGAAATACCCTGTACTGCCAGGGGCAGAGCAGTTTTTTCAGTGGTGCAGGTGATTTCTGAACTTGAGGGGACAGCAGTTTGGAGTGTGCTGCCTCACGCCACATCAGCATCAACCCTGAGAAAACAGAGCATGTCCTTCAAAAAGGGCTCGGTGGGCTGGAGTGTACCAGTTCCTCCCCTGGCAGGCCTGCTTTTCATGCCTTTCCTCATTTTTCTCTTCTTTGTGTCACATTTCAAAACAGAAGGATATTTCTACTAAAACAAACATGCTTAAAAGGAGATAAAAAATGCCCAGCTCCTTTGGTTGATAGGGTTTTAGGGCTTTTTTAATTTCCTGTTCTTTTTTGCTCTGAACATAATTTCACCTCTTTCCCCAACAACTCAGTGAAGATCACAGAACTACAACTGTAGGTAAAGGGGTAGCTAACTCGAGTCCGAACACCAGCTCAGCTCCACTTTACACGTGGGATAGGAGAAGCTGATCTGCTTCAAAGGGGAGACCTCAACAGGAGCATCTGTGCTTCCCGCTCCTTTTCATCTTCCTGAATTTACTGAAATACTTTCTCCCTGCATATGATGAAGTTTTTATGTGGGACCAGCAGCGCTTGTGCTTAGAAACACACTCGCAGTTGCCCAGGGAGTGGAGGCAAGGTGAGCTGCTTGAGGTGGATCTGGGAGGAAAGAGCCCTGATCAGAAACCGGAGCTTGGTTGCTGTGTCGTGTCTTAAGTTGTTTTTTTCAAACAATAGTCCTGAATTTGCCAGCCAAGACCTCCTGTTGCACTGGCCTTCAGCACATGGAAGTGGAAAGTGTTGCACCTCCCAACACAAAGGAAAGCTGCTTTTTACCTCTGGTAGGACAGCCCCATTACTCAGTTATCGTTTTTGGCAGAGGGGAAATGGCTGATGGGTAAAGGCCGTTGGCATCTTCCCGTCAGTCAGTGGCTGCGTTCGATCTTGTTGCAGCCGCAACTTTTCAGCGAAGATTCCTCCCTTGTGCGCTTGTTAACCTTCATCGTGGGAAAAAACAAGGAGTTGCTCTTCTGTGTGATCTAGATGGCAACGCATGTCCGATTTCTGTGTGATGCGCATACGCCGTTAATGATTTCTTGCAAGATCTGAATTTTATCTTCATGGGCCAGGTCCTGATAATGCCCTTGGGGGCAAGAGGTGGCAGCATGAGAGGCTGAGGGATGCATTGTACCACCCTGCTATGCCTGCCCCAATGCCCTGGGTACACGCATGAACACGGGGCCAGGTGCTGAGCTTAGATGCTGAGGGCTGGATTTAGAAATCTCCCTAGGTTGACCCAAACCTCCCTTCCTGGGTTGCCAGCTCTTTTTACTATTTTGTGATATATTTTTGTTTTCAGCCCCCAAAGGTTGGTTGGGTGAACACAAGCTGATGGCAGGAAGCATCCTTAACATAGCCTTTTCTGTACTGGCTGCTCCCCAGAGCCATGACTTGGCCCAAATCTGTATTTCTGCTTTCCCAGCAGAACAGATAAAGAGCTAAGCATCGCAGGCAGGTCCCAGTGCTTCGGGACACCCAGCTGCTCCAGCCAGCTGCCAGTTTTGCTGCTCTGTGATGTCTGAGGGGTGCAGGGGTCAGCCTGGATCCCCACTGAAGCTAGGACTGAGGTCCTGCTGGCTGGGGTGGGGGAAAACCTGACTCCTGAGAGCAGAGTGTCCCCGCAGCAGTTGGTATTTATCTGATTTCCACGCTGTTAGGAATGAGAAACTTCCTTATCAGGATGCCCTGTATGGATGGATGTCACCTCGCCTGTGTGCCTCACTGATAAGCACCATGAGCGTTTGAAATTGTTTGTTAGAATTTGCGGGCTGCTCCTGGATTTTTCAGGCACCCAACAAAGAGTGCCAGGTGTCTGGGCGAGGGGCTGGGTGCACAGTGCTGAGGCAGCCCCCTTCCTCCGCCTACCCCCTGCTCCTCACATTAATGCCTTAGAAAAATGCAAAGCTCTTAAGCTGCTTTGCATGCAATTTGAAAATAATGTCAGCGCTTCAGTGCAGTAGTTGTAAGAAACACTCCAGGAGCGAGCTGCGTTCCCAAGTACCTGCTCCTCGTTTATTTTCTTCTTTTTATAGACTTACTCTGGGGCATTTAATCTTTCAGTCTATATACACAAAATCTATGCATGAAGAGTATTATCCTGTGAACCTTCTTTGCGCTTTACGGGAGCTAGATTTGAGGTAGCTGACCCAGGTATGGTGACTGTCCTCTCCTCTGTAGATTTAAAATATTTGACTTAAAAAGCACACACCTTTCTCTTAAACTCTGATAATGACGCAATGGCACATTTCAAGGTTAGCGTTCCAATATAGTACAGCTCGTATGCTGTTCTCGGTTTTTAAAAAAAAAAGCGTGTTAACTTTCAGCAATCTGTGGCTTCTAGCTCGAGATGTTTTTTTAGTTGGGCTGATTATTTGCATTTCATGTCCTGAGTGGTTTACAGAGAGGAAAGCATTGCACAGCATTCTTCGGGCATCCCATAGCACTCCTCGGAGGGCATGCTTTACTCTCAAGACTTGCATATCCCGGATTGCTTCAGATCCAGGTCTCTGGTATCACTTCCACGTTTGCAGCCCAGCAGGAGATGGACACAGGCTGACGCTCCCTGCAGGCCTCTAGCCCCTGTTACGCAGACATCCGGGAGACAAGAGAGTGGAAAATTTGCTTCGATCCTCCCACGGTTACCAATTGAAAAGCAATCTCATTTCCTGAGGTGCATCACTGACGGCGAAGAAAATAACATAAACCATGTGGCAAAACTGCCAGTGCAACACATTCCCCCATTGGCGGATGGTACCAGGCAACCTGCGACATTCCCCTCCACATCAGGGGGCGCCTGCAGCTCCTCCCTATCCCTTGTGGCTCCCCTCTCCTCCTGCAGGTCTCCGCCCCCGTGACCGGGTCTGCTGCAGCTGCAACCTGCGGAACTTACAGTGCTGGGGCGAAAAAGGCCCCGGGCGCTGGGAGGGGCAGAAATAGCCGGCAGAGGGGTGCTTTCACACGTCGGGGGTTGTTTGCGTGTTTCAGACGGGTGTGGAAGGGGTATGCCCATGACTAGTGGAAAATGAGAGGTGGTGTTGCAGGAGCAGTTTCCGTAGACTTCCTGATCACCTCCCTGCACGTGTTCACCTGGCTTCCTATTGATGCTGAGCACCGACTTAAAAAAAAGAAGAGACTTGATGCTAAAAATAAAAAGCAGAGATGAAGCTGGTAGGGGTAACCGCTGCACACGAGGCCTTCCACGCCTGCTTGGTTTGAGTTTCCTATCTTTCCTGTGCCAGGAAAAAACCACATGTGCAGAGGTTTGTAAAAAACCACCTTGATGCTCAACATGCAGCTCGATCCCATAACCCAGTGGTTAATCTCTGCCTCGAGCAAGCTGGAGAGATCTCCTTTGCTGTTTGTGGGGTTTTGGTGGGGCACTGTGCACTGGGGAAAGTTACTGCTCAGCCCAGTCCTCACTGAGGGCCTCTGTGGACTTTCCACTGCAGAAAAATAGATTTACCGCAGACAACTTACACTATCAGCTGCAGCACCGTGAAGGGTGCTGGCAGCACGTTAGGCCTACATGTTGGTGCCCCTGTTAATCCAGCAGCTAATGGTATGACTAAGAAAAAACCCCACTGCTTAGATAACCTTGTTTGTAATTTATTATTAAGTCAACTCACACCTGGTTTAATCACAACTAAAAGGCAAGGAAAAGGTATGAGCTCACTGAATGGCAGCTTCCCTGCCATTCCCTGGTAGCTATGTGTACGTAAGGGCTTTCACAGCTTTCCAGATGGGCTCCTGGCAGAGCCATGTGCCATCTAAACCCTTTACCACGCTCCCTGAGGTGCTCGTACCATGAGGCGATGGTCCAACTGGGCAGATTTGCTGGGCCCCTTAAGAAAGAAGCCCATGCATTTCCACCAGAAGTTAATACATTTTTTTCACTTCTACTGTGAATATCTAAGGTCTTGCTTCCAAAAACAAACCCCAAACCTGGGATACTGGAGGTAATTTACTTTTGTGGAAAAGATTCCTTCCCAGCCAGTGAAGTTTAGACTGACAACAAGCAGCTGGCTCCTAACCCTCCAGATGGACCAACGTGGACTTGCGGCAGGGAAAATCACTGCAGCGCCAGCGCAAAAATGCAGTTGACTGAAACTAAGAGGACATGGGGTGCTGCTTTTTCTCTCCAGAGGGAAGAGCAAACGGACCGGAGCCCTGTGAGCACAGGGCGGGTGCCAGGCAGGATGCAGGGCTGGACCACGACCAGCTGACTTCTGGTCAGGCGAGTTGGTCCCAGGTTTGCTTTTCTTCTCAGGCAAAACTGAAAATGAAGGCAGTAGAGATTATTATTTGGTGGTTTGGGTATTTTTTTGAGCGATGAAAGCCAGGACGCTGGGCTTTTCTGTTCATGTCTCTCTCCCATCAATCAGGAAGCGGTGACGCAGGTTATGGGCTGGGTTTGAGGTTTTGAAACCTTTTCTAAAAGTCGGTCTCCTCACCCTGTCGTATTGCTGAAGTGTGAAGCTGTGGTGAAGGCTGGTGGTGAGCAGGGGGATGCCAGCCAAAATGCAGCTCCTTATCAGATGTAACGGGAGGATTTTCCTGGCTGTTTGTTTAATCCTCTTTGTGGGATACACAGCACAAGGTAAAACGGGGCGGTTGTTCTCTCGGTAATCCTCTTTCTGGGCTATGCAGTGTAGGCCAAGTAGGCAGCCTCCGAATTTTTCAGACTGACCTTCTTCTAGTGGTAGTAAGATCTACTCAGGTAACTTGTTTTGCTAACATCTTATTTTCCAGAGGGGGAATGGTAAGAAAAGGTGCTTTTGGCAAGTGGGGTATTTCTGCATCCCTTTCCCAGCCCCTATGGCAAAAAGACTTCCGAAAATACATTGCTGTATGTGTCTGTTTTCAATCCACTGATTTTTATGTGTTTTTTTTAACAGACCTTTTCACAGTGCTCCGGTTACTACTGTTACACAGTTATGTAGTTACAGATAAAGTATGTAACATGTTATAACAACTGCGGTCTACTTTCTTGGGGGTCAAGAAAGGAAACTAGTTCTAAGTATGAGGAAATTAAACGGTTTCTTCGGTACAATATTGCAACATACAGCACTAAAACAACTGAAAGGAAATGTTGATTCCTGTTGACATCTACCCTGTGGATTTGTTTCTTGCAAGACACAAGCTCTCTTTAAGGATGTAGAGCATCATTTGTCCCCAAACCAAGGCTGTGATGGCAATAGGCTTTCATTACCTATCTACCACTTGGAGGCTGATCTTTGAGGGATTACGACCTGCTTTTTGTATGTTGTTTATTTGCAAATTATTTCAGCTGTAGTTGTTTATTTTGTTGCCACTGTCATCATTAAAAACCTTCTTACTAATAGGCTAAGAGGAGAAAGTAAGTGTGAAAAAGCAGTATGCTGTAAAAGAAGCAGGAAATTATGCCCGTGAGATCTTTTCTCTTACAGATGACTGTAGCAGGCAGCTGACAGTCATCTAGTACATTACGGAAACATAAAGGGCAGTAAAGAAGTGTAATTACAGAAAGATATTCTCAGGAAACTTAGAAAAAATAGATAAAAGTGCCACAGGGGGAGAACATGCCAGGAGGCTTCAGAACAAATTAATTACATGACACCAGGGTGAAGGAGAAAATGCCACTGTTTCTACCTTTACTATGTGATCGTTATTTTCTCCTTTTGGTATTTTTTGAAGACTCGCTTTTCAGCAAGAGCCCCGATCAGGCATCTCGGGGGGCAGCAGAGCTGAGACTGTGGGTTTACATAACTCTGAGTCACGTCTAGGAGACACGTGAACCCTCTCTCCTCTGTCGGTGTGCTCCGAGAGCCTACATAAGCCCCAAATGTGCTCCTGTGGCAAGTGGCTCTTGGCATACCTTGAGTTCCCTTCGTCCCCACCAAAACTCATCCCGTTGAACGCGAAGGAGCTGAGCTGAGGCATGCAAAGCCAAAACAGAGTCAGCTCGGAACCTCGCTGGAGCCAACAGAGAAAGGGAGGGTGCAGGAGCCAGCTCTCCGCTGGGGTGGCTTTTCACCAGGGGATTTTTGAGACACCTTCACCTGGTTCGGGGAGAGCTGCAGTTGGCCCAACCCACAGATCCCCTGTGGATGTGCCATGCCCCGAGCTGGGGACGAGCCCTGTTGTGATGTCAGTGCAAGGCAGTGGTTTCCCCCAGGATTTCCATTTCTAGTTCCCATGGACTTACCAGTGCCGAAAGCGAGATGTTCCCGATGCCTCTGATAGCAAAGATGTCACTTAATGTACCAGTCACTATATAACAAAAGCCTTCAGGGTAAATTTAATTTTCGGCAGTTGAGCAATAAGGGCCACGCAAATTTCTTCCACTCCTTTTAGCTTTAGTAGGTGCTCATAAAATTAATAGGACTTGGTGAATAATATCCTGGCCCTGGTGAATAACACATGGCTGATTCGATCAGGTGCTCCAGCACAGAGGGCAAGGTACAAGAGAGTGAGATGCCGACCCGACTCCTGGTCTGCTAACTGCATCGAAGAGAAGGGGCCCTGGTTTTACATGCCCACCGGTGGAGCCAACAGGATCCTTCCCCCCATGGCAGACCCATCCCTGTAAGTTCACTTGTTGCACGTTGGCCACTAATGCTAGCACCTAATGCTAGCACCCAAAAACGTCCACTGTTCCCGCCTCAACAGTCCTGTCACAACGCGGCTCACCCGTGGGAGTGTGAGGCTTCAGTGTGAGACTTAAGAGATAACAAACAAACAAACTAATTTGGAATTAACTAGCTGTCTCTTTGCCCTTCAGGATGAAGCGATACCAGGAGCTGGGTGACATATTCCCTCTCTTGGACGATGATTCTGGCTCTGGCTATGAGTCCGCGGTGGAGCTGGAACCAGCCTCCGGGTCGGGGCTCGGCGATGTCGGCACCTTCTCCGAAGCGAAGCTGCCTGTCTTCCTAGCGGGCCCGCGAGGCGGTGAGCTGAAGCAAAAGCTGACGGAGGAGGATCTGATCCTGTAGGGATGGAGACTCCTGCCTCCTCGCGCCAGTGGCAGCCTTGCTCGCCTCACGCACCCTCCCTCAGTGCCCAACGCGATGGCTGCGAGGCTGTTTTTAAACCAGCTCCAACTCCATTAAAAACCCCCAAACTTTGCCTTAGATCTTTATTGCTTTCACTCAATATATATATAAAAAAACCAACCCAAACAAACTATCTGTGTTCGGTCTGAACTCGCCCCGTGCTTTGGGCGGGCGGTGCTGACGCTCCAAG